GGTATAATCTTCATGTTATACATACCATGGTGATGTTATGAAGGTCAAAGTCAAGACACAGTTCATAACCATTACGAGAAACAGAAGAAGGCAAGTTTGAGGTTAAGCAAACGAGGTGAGTACATTTTGTGACTAATGGGATACATGTGTGCTATATAAATGCTTTACTCAAGATGAAGAGTTTGAAAAGATGTTCTCACATGAAAATTATAATATCATTATATAGCTAAGATGTTCTTGATGCATTTCATGATGATGACATATGTGTTACATGCTTATGAAAGTTTTATGCATGTTATGTATGTCCATTATACATATATTCGACTAGATATCTGGCGTAGAGGCGTCTTGCGAATTGTTGTCATAAGTAGCCTTTAGTGGTGGACCTTGGGGTTAGTGGACTTATTAGGAGTGTAGGAGTATGACTTACATGTTGTAATGAGATCTCAAAATATTGTTTGCAAAATGATGTTTTATGCAGGAGAGGTGTTTATGCATGATGATGAGTGTATCACTGTATTGAAATGTTATTTCTTACAAATGATATGGTTTTTAGAAGATGCTCAAGTATTCCATATATGTATCTCCAACATATGAGAGTAAGTCATTAAAGGGACATGCATGAAGAGTTATAGTTCTTATGTTAGACGTTATATGTAAGCTAGGCTATTGAATTGATGTTTAAAATGCTTCCATATATGTAAAGTTTATGTTAGTATTTGTATCGATATATGATTCGATGAAAGTATGAAGCTTTATGTTATGAAATTTTGAGAATACATACAAGCTATGATAAGGAATAGAGTTGATAGCACCCAAATATCACGACGTCATATTACGATTTGAGTAGGAGAAGAAGACATAGAATGAGGTTGATTGTCACTATGTTCAGAAGAAGACACTAGGTACTTTAGTGAATCTCCATTCTTGAACATGTTTCTGTTTGCCGTGGGGAGATTACGAGTTGCACATACCTGATTTTGTGTTCCAACTTGAGGAGTGCTAGAATAGTTTGTGTAGTTTAGTCCTTGGTCAATTTATTTTTTTTTTTCCTGAATAACCTGGATATCCAACCCGCTATGCGAGCCGACTAATCCCAGGGCGACCACCTGCTTTATACATGCGATGGTCAAGTTACTTATAAAAGATTAACTTGATACCACTAGCTGAGAACAAGGAATGTAGGTATGCCAATTGTTTCATGATGAGTTCTTGGCTATGCCTTTTGGTATGCCAAATGTTGGGATCTTCTACCAAAAAAAATGTATAGGGACACGTGTCGTTTGGATATATAAATCTAGAGAAAAGTCATGCATAAGAACATCTCCATCTAGTGCTGGATTTCGAAAAACTGTTCTTTACAAAACTACAAGGTTATTTTTAGTAATCATGAAAAATTGCTTTATATCAGAAGTTACATAAAGAATTGACCGTAGCATGTATAAAGATAGTTCACTTACATGTACTAATGCATGATTTTTATATTTATTTATTTATTTATTTGTCATAACATTGCTCGACTGTTGATACTTAATACAAAATCTCATTGTTTTATCTTTCTTCTTCACGAAGAATACTACATCCTCCAAGATGAAGCACATGATATATGTAACCTTATCCAACAGTTCATAAAAATTATTTCATGAGATCCTTCATATGCATAAATGTGATGCTCTATGGTCTTCAACATTGTTGCAACTCTTGGCAACAAACCAATGCACAATTCTGTGATTTTGGTAGTAGCGTTGACAACCTGTTTGGAAATGCATCCGAACCCAGCTCTTGCTGCAAGATTTTTCTCAAGTTTGGGCTCCTTGCTCTTTGTGCTGTTGACATGATTAAAATATGTTATACATTCCTTCTTGGCAAACTTCTTTTTTTTGAAGCATATAATATTTATATATGGCAAATAGAACAAATAAACTAACACACCCTCCTCACCTTTGGTGAGGTTTGAATCCTTGACCTCCTAGGAAGCCAAGGACTCACATACCGCTAGGCCACAGGCCCTGTGGTTTCTTGGCAAACTTCTTGCTTGTGCAACCAACACAAATTTAGTAGCCGTTGGCTCTTGATCTTTGTAGAAACCTAAATTTCTCACTGCTGAAAGCTAGGAGACACACACTTCCCAATTTTAAAAGCTATTGACGCCCCTATGATTGCACTGGTTTGTGAGTGACTTGGGTAGGGATGTTTATTAAATTTTTTATAGTTTATTTACGCAATTAGGTGACTATGATTTCCTTACATGTTGGCCCTATGATCAACATTGTTGCTTCATATATATCACATCCATCTGACGATGAAGATACACCTGTTGAGACTAAACAGTTACAGATAGGGATGAAATAATGTGAGACAATCCAAATTCTAAAATGAAAAGCCTCAGGTTTAGCTGATAGAATCACTCTTCAAAACGAGGAATATAATAAATATTATATTTGATTGGTAATCATAAAATGTAAGAATACCTGCCGAACTGTATTTAACTGTGCCTCCGACTGTTAGGTCAAACGTTACACACGCAATACGCACAACCCAAAAAACAAGAGAAGAACACAAGAATTTACGTGGTTCACACGATCAGATTGATCGTGCTAGTCCACGGGGGCAACTAGGTTTTTCTTTATTTAGGTGCTACAATGTTTACAAGTACAATGAGATTAATATATATAGACAAA